GCTGCTGATTACCAAAAAGTGAAAATGGCTAAGAACAATTTAACAAATCATTTCGCTATTCTTTTAAAAAGAGATATGGAGTAATCAGTAAAAAGCAGACCTTGAAATGAAAAGACTTGTACATGCACTGGATACACCTTAGGGCAGATAGAATAAACTGCCTTCATATAACATAAAGCTTGTATACATGGGCCTCTGAATATTAAAGGCTACCACTCGTGAGAAACTTTTCTGTCTCTGTCAGCTGTGTAGTGATCTCCAAAACACAAATGCACCTGAATTTTACCCACCATAGCTACTTAATCAGAAAACAACTAGGAATGGAAGACTATAGAAAATGTTTATTTCCTTTTCCTTCTCAATACAAATTTGTACTAAGTAACTTTCAGTGTGTCCCCCTCTGCCTTTGGTCACTTTCCTGAATAGCTCTACAGGGAAGCAAACATAGGTAAACACAGTAAATACAGGGATTCTATTTTCAAATGCTCCAAACGAGGTGGATGTCCCTCACACAGATGCAGTAAACAAAAGGGTATTTTTGACTTTTTCTTTCCTAAAATATTTAGATCTCAAAACTGACAGGATTTAACAATATTGAGAGCATTTCTGTTAACAATAATTCTGAGACACTGTTATGAGACATTTTGTTTAGCAACTCCAGTATTCTGATTATGCTATTAACTGACTACCAAAGTACTCAAAACTAACAAGTCAAAACATAGAAAGGATGCAGATGCCACTCCACAATACTGTATCTCACAAAAATTATTTCAGTTCCGTCACAATTACTTGAAAATATATTTCAAAAAACATTGCAAAATCTTATGTAGTTTAAAACTGGTTATGCCTATATCCTCTGAATTTACAAGCAAAATCTCAATAGTTACACAAAAGGTTTTAATATAAGATTCCATTACACAAGAATTGCAGTAGTGCATTAAAATATATAAAATCCCTACTTCCGCTGAACTAGTACAACCCATAACCTTAAATAAAAAATATATTATTTCCTCTCAAATTACAGTGGTTAGACATGAAAAGATGTAGTACATGCAATAAATACATCCAAAATGCTAGGAGGACTGAGCGTTTGAATTCATCTACAACCAGAACTTGTAAGTTGCAGGTGTTTGAAGTCAAGGATGGCATGGGGAAATGAATCCTGAAAGAAGCATCTTTTTACTGCCTGAAAAAGTAATCAATAGCTTAATTGTTATTAGTTTGTGTTTTAGTCAAGTAAGGGTGATTCAGTGTATTTTTCCTACTATGTAATGTAGTTCCTAGAAGAGGGAAAAACACACAGAATTAACATGAAAGATTTCTCAATACCTTTCCTCCACTGTATTAGGAGGATTTTCACGCTGGCACAAGAGGCAGACACCACAGGATTTTACAACAGACCCAAACATCTAATCAAGTTGTGGCTCTCAAAAGACACTTTCTGCAGCCCTCATTGCTTGGGGAACTGCAAAAGCTACCAGTGAAAATAAAACAACCTCTTCCTTTCCTGAGTCTATCCATACTTCACCTTGTCCCCCTTCAGCAGTAAATTCACAAGGATGATTTTAAACAAGGGCTTTGCAGAATACACAAGACAGAGCTCACCACCAAGTAAAAATAGGACACTCATGCATGTTTTCAACTGGGAAGCTCACTGAGCATCAAACTCAATGTTATTTTCACTCCCTCAATATGTAAGCTCCTTATCATGCGGAACACTGCAGCACTGTCCATAACAGACATCCAACCCATGATGCCCAAAGGTGCTGCAAAATGTAAGCTGCAATCACGTTGCAGTTATTCCTAGTCTTGTAGTTTTCACAGATGTTACTCCTAGTTATTTCTGGTTTTCACTGCTTTCAAAACACAACAGAGTGAAAGCAATCTAGCACTGGCACATATATAGAAAAAAACCCTACAAAACTGTAAGAAAATAGAATGTACTATTACAAAAGAGAACACAACATTACAATCTTTAACTGCTCGACTGATTTTGAAACTAACCAGTTTAAAGTCAATTTTAATGCAACCAAGTCTCATATAGATACCCAGTCAAACTCAGCATGCCACTGCCCACCCACCAAGCAGAACTGGAATTCATGTCCCTATATAACATCCAAAGGGTTTTTAAATAAAAGCAGAAGTATTACCAGAAGGTAGTTCTTCCTTTCTAATGCTTTCATACAACTTGAGACAAGCACCCGTTACTCTGCTTAAATTACTCTTCACACTTTCATCCCGTCCCATCTTATACAATTATTTCCAATTCTCCTGAAACAATGCCTACATACTTTTAAGGCTACTACAGTAACAAACTGCATGATTACAACAAAGCCTGGCATTATTTTCTCTCTTTCTTGCACAGTCAGTGCCACCAACATCATACTGACTTAAGAAGTAACGTCACAAACTGCACACACAAAAATTACTCCCTACACTACTTAAATGCTGTAACTTAAGTGACAGACATTTACAGGCAGAGTACAACACAGTTCAGAATAAGAATGAAACCCTTTAATTGACACTGGAGAAAATTAGATTCTAATTGCATATGCTATATTTTGCTGATAGCAATGAGGGTAGCATTTGCAAAAAAAGTGTTATGAGTTCCTTAACGACCAACAGGTTATTAAGACCTTTGTCATACAAGTCATTAGAAGTGTGACATTTCCAACAGCAGAGAGCCCTCTAGAGCTACCAAGGGATAACAGTTCAGCAGCCCTACAGGAGAAGGGCACCAGTGCTGATTAATGCAACACCCGGGCTCTTCATGGAATCCCCTCCAGCTACTGACCAAACCCGATTTTACCTGGTTCAGTGGAACAGACATCAAACCCCAAAGTGAGAAAACAGAAGTCACATTTTAATTTGAAGAATATGGGAGCTAATATTTATTGTATTGCCAGTAAACTTGGAAAGCTTTAAAATGTAATAATAGGTTTGGGGGAAGTCATGCAAGGACTTAGAGATACTTATTTATAATACATGTTTGTAAAAAATAACCAAATACCTGAAAAGCAAAACTTTACATTACTGTATAGTGATACCAAAATAATTGTTACTTAGTGAAACTAAACAATATGTGGATATATTCCTCATAGCACAAAAAGCTCTCAATATCAAAATGCCCTATCAATGTAAGATAATTTCTACACAGGAAATACATTCTGCTGAACATATTATAATGAAGTTTATAAGCATTCACTAAAACAGTGCTCAAAATAGTACATAAATTAAATCCACTTAATCAGTTATTAGATGTCTTTCAATTATCTCCACTCTTGTGCTTGTGCTGTAGCAACCAATCGCTACATATAAATTACAAACTGAAAATCTCTTCTTACACAGCATGGAGTTTCCTATTCCCACCTCCTCAATTACAGTACAAGTTGTAAGATAAATTGCAAGAAAATAACTAAACTATATTCTTTAGCTTTACTGTCAAGACTTACAACTGTGAAAAGCAGTAAGCACAACTTTATTATCTTCTCATTGCAACCAAAAATAGCAAGAATAAATTCACCCATTTTCTCAGAACCAAAACCCACTGAAGCATACAATTTTAGGACTGACAACTGAATTACAGCACACCAACCATAGGTTTGGGTTCACATTTTAAGGGCCTAAGATAATCACTTAAAGTTATGAACTTAACTTTCTGCACGTTAATTCACCAGACTTAATTATGATACAAGTTTGCAGTGTGCTTAGGGAACAACAATCTCTTGGACACTTTAAAGAATCCACAAACAGCCTTCAAACATGCTTTCATGGGCAAGTATAAAGTAATGTTTTATTACCAAAATAAATTTCTAAGAGCCAGCACTTCACTGGAAGGGGGAGGTGAAGAACAAACTTGCAATGAATATGATGAGAAGAGGTAGTATGTCTACTCTGCTAGCAACAGCATCAAGCTTCCTTTTTTGATCTCCAGCTAGAGCTCAAAAAGCCACAGTAAAACCTTCCTGCAGAGACAGAGGCAAATCAAAATATCTCAGCACCCTGACAAGTTCATGTTGGGATCCTGGAAGTCAGGAGTACAGTACCCCATTTGGAGTATTTTTATCTCAGGCCCACTGCTATATTCAACAATGCACTTCTAAATGAGAACATTTTCAGAACAAAAATCACTCTATTTTACATCATTTGGTTACTCCTCTGCCCTAGACTCCCAAAATCTCATGGCCACAAACTCCAGTCATATTGGGACACATAGATATGCTATGTTTTTACAAGATTTTTATTCTATCTTACATTCAGTTTTCAATGCCTAAGAAAATGCAAATAGCTGTCACTGCTTCCATGCTATTAACAGCAGCAATCCTTTGATATTCTTAAATAAAGTTATAGTCTTCTTTAAGAATCAAGTACAATCTTTGTGCATCAAGAAGACAAGGCTTAGACACAAAAGAAAAGGTACTTTCAGGTGTTATCTGTTGTATGTGCCTGTGCAGACACCGAGTAGATCCACACCAAGACTAAGGGGAGCAAGAACACCACTGAAACATGTCAGAACAGTAACTACATGTGTACACCAAGGGTCACAGCAGAGTCCTCAGCTCCTTTTCCCTAACCCCTTAAAATGTGCATTTCTGCAGGATATGTATGGGAACTAGTTATGAAAGTCAAGCAATTAAAAAGCATTTCTGAGGTATTCATGCGACTGTACCAGCCACAAGTGCCTGACAGCTCTGCGTGTGTGAAAGTCCCTGGAGAGCCATCACACTTCAATTACTATCACTAACATTAGTCATTATCAGGCTGGCTTCAGTCCCTGGGGAAGGCAGCTCGTGATGACAATATCCAGCCTCTCCTTGTAAAACAATTCATTAGGCAAAGCAGAACAGCTGGGGCAGCCACGTGGATGTCTGCAGAGTGGCCCTCCCACTGGGACCTCCAGCCCCCCTTTTCCTTTTGGACAGGAGCAGCCACCGCCCCCATGACAGCTGTAAAAGCCTCTGGGGACGCTTCAGGTTTAATCAGTGCTCCTTATACTCAGGGGAAGCATTTGATTGCAAACTTAAACTAATGGCACTCAGAAGGTTACAACAATCATCAGATAAGAGGCTTTAGGGCATTTTTATCTTGTTCTAATGCTCACAAGTTAATGAGGCAATAAGAGATACTATCAGACTTGGTCTAGCAACATTGTACAGACTGGATGTTCAAAACTGCATTTACTGCAGATGCAAGAGGTAAGGTGGCAAGTTCACTATTGATCTTACAGAAGACTTCATGCTCTGAACGACTGAAACCACTCAATAAAGTGACAAAATACTTGGCAAATTTTCACATAGCTTTGTATGCATTATCACTGGATCCAAAATGGAGGAAACTGAAGAGGAATATAGCAAACCAAACAGGTAAATAACCTCTGGCATTAGAACGGATACAGACTAATAATTTCTAACCTTTATACTGCTTGCAAATAGAAATCCTTTTATATATATAATGACTGCAAATGGCTGAGAATAGCCTTGCTTTTCTTAGCTACCCTGCTTGGGTCCCAGGCTGAAGAGCACTTGATATTGGGATCTGTTTAATTATCATATTCGCATTTTACTACTGATGACTGACACAATATTCTAATGATACCTTCCTGTGGCATATAATAGCAGCAAGCAGGGGAAAACAACAAACAGCAGCAGACAACAAAGGATACTTAGCAATAAATGCTTTATATACTGTTTTTTAAAATTCATTATTTTTTCAATGCCTCGCAGACCAAGTTAACATGAACCCCACCTTACAGCTGGGGAGATAGGAAGAGGCACATAAAAAGGCAAATAAATGAACCAAATAGAAGAGGGGTAGTACCAGAAACTCAGCCAAGTCTCCAAAGTCACAATAGTGAGATTTTTCACTAGGATCAGCTGCTGCTCTGCAAATAGGTCCAGCAACCCAAATTCTCTCTTCACTCCTGCCTGAAGCCAAAATTTACAGGAAAACATTTCAGACAGAGATGGCACACAGATAATCTTTCCAATATCTGTAAATACAGAGTAAATGTTCTAGTAACACAGAAGTGGAACGTTTTAATTCAATAAAGGCATAGACAAAGCAAAAGATGTTTAAATAATAAGTACAGACCAGTTGTAAAGATTCAAGAGTCCCTGCTAGAATGACTCCTGAGATTTGTTAGGCATTTTTATGATTTTAAATGATAATAGAAAAATGCACATAACCTTATGCTTGATCAAACTTTTCCCCATCCTCTATTCCTCCACTGACAGTAGTCTACAAGTTATCTTGTCAGAATGAGAGTAGCAAAAAATAGGCTTCTGACAGTATAATGTAAGAACATTTTGTTTGTAGTCATGTTTCTTTCTGAGCCAAGCATGTGGCAGACAGAAATGCTTTAATGTGACAGCCCATTCCTTTACTTTTGTGGCTAAAAACTCTTCAGTCAAGCCCCATTGACCCTCTGCTTGTCTAGACAGATGAGGGTGGTTTCACTGTTCATTTCAGCCAAAGCACACAAGAACCTTTGTGTATGCTGAGGACCGTTCTCCTACTCTGCTTGAAGAATTGTACTGAATGGACTGTACCTCCCTGTGCACAAATACGGGCTCTGTAGCCCACACTGCACAGACTTGTAATCAGCTCTGTCCATGGAATATTTGAAAGTCCATTCACCATCCCCCAAAGCCCAGTAGCCATCACTGTGACACAGGAATTCCTAGGTATCCTGTTCCTAATCAGCTGCTCCCACAGAGGCAGATCATAGAGTTGCACCTGCCTAAAGCTCACAAGCTGAACCATTCGGTGCCGTGAGGAATGCAGGCTTCAAATGCACTTCTAGTTGTAGGAGAACTTAGATCAGAGAAACATGGAGCCACTGCAGGATCAGGGTTACAAGGGCTCAGGAGGTCTCCTGGTCAAACTGGGGTCGACTATGAGGACAGATCATGCTGCTTAAAGCTTTGAGTCAGGTCTGGAAAACCTCCAAGAACAGAGAATGCAGAACTGGTGACTGCACAACGTGTTCCACTACTTGACTGACCAGTGCTAATATTCCAGATGTCTTTGCAAAGCACAAATTGGTGCTTTGAGTAGCATACCAAAAATTCTGCAGAAGTTAATAGTGGTGAATCAGATGACTGATTTCACAGTCTTCAGAGCAGTTTGATCAGTCAATTTCCAGATTAATCAGATTTTTCTCTTCTTCCCCACTAACACTTCCCTTTTCTTAACCACAGCAAGTATCTAGATCAACCTTCACTCTATCAATATAAACTCATTTTTGCATTTTGTCTTTTCCAGAAAGAAAGACTTTTGTCTTTTCCAGAAAGGATCAAACCATTGCAGAATTTCTTCCCACTACTGAACAAACTACAGGAGACAAAGGGGACTTGCAGAAGAGACATTCTTAGACATGAATACCAGGGTATAACAAATATTTTGTAGGATTTTCTTAACTGGTTTGGTGGTTTTTATTTCGTAGTTCTTGTTTATTGGTATTTGTTGTCCTGGGTTTCTTTTTGGTGGAGGCAAAGGTGTTGGTTTTGTCTTGTTTTAATAAAGCATTCTGGCTGAAGTACCTTTCAGAGGTAGCCTTTGTTTTAACAAAACCAGATTCACAAACTAGGTATGGGCACGTAGAAATGGTGAGGAGGAGGAGAAGAGAAAAGGAAAAAAAAAATTAAAAAAAGATCAGGTAAAAAGTATCTCATCAACTCAGCTTTTATTTAGAATTTAGCTGTTGCATCACTCACTTCAACAGCAGTTATCTGCCAGCTTTTGGGCTACTCAGCATGTGATCCTTATATATATAGCATTGGAAACTCAGTCATCAGAGCTCGATGGGATGCTGTCTACCACTGGAAAAACTCCCCACTGTACTTCCTACTTCAGGCTCCAGAATTAACCATGCAATGGCAGGTGTCATTTTAGCATTTCTAACACTTCTACACCTAACTACATTTTAAAGCTATCTACGCAATTACAGACTTAACATTGTTTATGATAATCTCCCTTTGGTAAGATGTGTCCATCAGAATTAGAAAAATGCAATCAGCTGCATTTGGGAGTCTCAATGAATACCAGACAAAATGGAAATTTGGGGTTTTACAGTCACTTTGGATATTTTAAAATAATTATGTGGTAAAATAATTACCTTATTATGAAAAAAATTATTAAGTCACAGACAAAAACAATCCAACCCAAACTGTAGAATTTATCAAAGAAGATTGCACATAGACAAGTATCTACAACGGGCATCTAACAGAAAATACAAGCAGAGAGAAGTAGAACTTCTTGAAATTCTAACACATACAGGAGAGTTTTAGAGATTTTTTTTCCTTTTCTCAAACTTCACAAGTATACACCTCCTTCTGCAGCAATCAGAATCATCAATGCCTGGAGACTATGATGATGCCTTAGTACTCACCATCAATGTCCACCATAGCATCTTTCCCTAAGAGTAAGGGAAGGGCATGAAGGCAAAGATGCAGAAATTTCTTGAAGCTTACAGAAGTATTCATTCTACTTTACCAGCAGACAGAGAAAACCCTAAGGATCCATGCAGTATTTCTTTCCCTGTATGACAGTTACCTAGACACAGCATTTGTTTTATGGTAAGAATGCACAGTCTATGCATACAGGTAGAATCACATCACATAGCATCAGTATACTGTCTCTTCCTGATTTTATATTTAAGAATAACCTGAATCTGCCTTTTTTTTTTTTTTTTTTTCACACAGAAGACAACTCAAATACACACCCACTTACTTTAAAAAAAACCAAAACAATAGCAGCCATGGTCCAAACTCAATTTCTATCCTCACCATTGCAACCTAATCTCCTGGCACGTTAATGCAAATCAAAGCTAACACTTCTCTGACACTGGTAGCAAAGCGTGTTCCTCTCCCAAGAGAGACCTGTAAAACAGGACAGTCACTGACAGCAGTACAATTACTGACACAGATACAGACTTTATGGACATGTTTATCTCTGCTGTAAATCCACACTCTCTCTCCACTCCGATTCATGAGTCATAAAGAAATTGCAGATAATGAAAAAGTTGGAGAAATTTACAGCGTGTCGGAAACCTCAGACAGCCAGAAGAAATTAAAGAGCTGACTGGGGATAAATCACACAGGTACAATTAAAACTTCCTATGCCTCCTTCACTTCCAAACTGGGGCACAAGCCAATGGAGATGATGAAAAGTTGAGGTCGTGACTCCTCTGACTGTAATAATTTCTTAACTACCTACATGTCAGAATTAGCCAATTCACAGAGCATGTATGAATTGCAATTTCAAGCTGGCATTCTGATGTCTCTCTCTTCCAACAGGAGGTGCCCCTGAAAAATCCTGCCTGTAAATAAGCCACCCAGCAAACAGTATAAGGAAAGGTGATTTCCTTGTCCCTCTGCAGATGCAGAGTATCTCTCACCACAGCGATGTGCATTAAAATGAAGCAGTAGATCTACAGTATGGGAGGAGAGTGTAAAAAGAGCCAGGAGAAAGGCCAAGGTTTCACATGGAAATCATAGCACCTTGGATATTGTGGTGACAAGCTATATAAACATCTTAACACACAATTTAGGTGTTCTTTTCACCTCTCTGAAACAATCAAATAAGGCCCAAGAATTACTATGAATGTAAACTGAAAACAGCCTCTATATTTTTCCTACTGTGAAAAACTACACCAACCATTTCAGCTGATTGTGAGCTCCTGAAATTCTCTGTGATCATCTCCTAACCCAAAAATGAACCATCCAAAATGTGACACATTCTATGGGAGAAGTCTACTAATTCTAAGTAACACCTCGAGCTAACTGTGTACTGCAGAAATCCCGTGTCCAAAAGCATAATTTTGTTGTAATTTTGTTGTGCAGATGTAAAACTCTGCCTTCGAGCTTTGAAGCACACTAAGTATACTATTTCACATAAAGTCCTTGCCAAACACAGTACTAAATAACAAAATAAGTGAGAAATATGCTTTCAAGCAAAACTGAAACATGATGAAGATTCACTCAGCAAGGCAGGCAATGCAGAAAACTAACCAAGAAAAAAAATACTTGCTACAAAGAAAATTCTAAGCAGAGCAGAAATAACTGAAGCACACACACCTCAAACTGCTTCTTTTTATGCAGGACAGTTCATCTTGCACATAAACAAAATTTTGTTTAAGAACATAACAAGCACTAGACTTGGCAGACATTGTTCTCTTCCAAGCCCAACATATTTAGAACAATGTTGGCAATCCAAAACATATTTTCTTCCATGATGTTTCAGATTAATACAAGCACACAAGTGCTAGAAGCACAGTACTTCTGGAGATGCCACTTTTAACAAAGAAAAAGCATCTTCCTCACTCTTTTGTCAGCAGCCAAGGTGGTAAAAACACTGCTATATCTTTATAATAACTGGCACTGGGACTGCTGTGGGATGTAGATCCAAATCACAGGCTACTCTTTCACTTCATTTCTTTCTTGCCTCTCCAAAAGGCAGTTCTCTTCTCCACCTCCACCACAACACTTTAGACAGTCTTATTTCCCCAAGAAAATAGGGGAAAAGTTCATGTTATAGAACGAGTCAGCTCTTCCCCAGTTTCAAAATCTCATTTTGACAAGTAAGGAACCACAAGAGTCCAATTCACTTTTCCAAGCAATTCTCCAGACTACAGAGTGGACGTACAGCTTTTACTAAAATGGACCAACAAGAGATTTCAGAAGATGTCATAGGACATTTTAAAGCATCCTTCACTTACATATCTGTTCATATGTTGGTTTCCTACAAATGTAAGAACCTGAAACATTTTGTTGCAAACAACTGTACATACACACCAGAAAGAGCACCAGGCAACTGTAATGCAGAAGTAAAGCCATGCTCACAAATGCAAAGTAAGACTTCTGAGCTTAAAAAGTCTCTGTGTTGCCAGAACTAAAGAAAAAGTGGTTATGATCAGAAAATATTTTTATCTGATTAATTACATCATTGATAGAAGCTTGTTTGGGTACAAAGGCCAGGTGTTTTGCATGGAGCCTAAAAGTCTGCATGTTCATGCTACACGGTGACACTCCCAGGCAAGCCAATCCATTACACAAAAGGAAAAAGGTATTTCAGTAAAAGGATACATTATCTTTCCTAATTTCCTTATTTTGATTCTAATTCAGCAACTTTGTATATACAAAGTTCAAGTGTAGCAACTGTCATGCCTTGCCTCCTAGTTTGGTAAATTCAGTCCACCAAGGATGGAGCCCAATTTAAACATATCCTACCTATGACCAGCATCAAAAAGAAGTAAAAAAAATTAAACACCATCCAAAACTCAATGACAGTAGCCTGCAAGGATCACTGACAGAACTAAGGGTGTATGCCCAAAAAATGCTACAGTTAAACCCTGATTAACTGCCCTGCCCCTCCAAACCTGCAAAAAAGCTGAACTTGCAGGCAAGAGATCACAATAGAAAAAAGAGATCATTTATCTGAAAAGAAAAATGAAAAACTGAAGACTACCAATCTAAGGAAAAGTGGTGGTCTGTACATAGCTTGGAATTCAGTAGGACTCCTTTATGATTTTCCAGAAATTTCAGAGGCTGCTGAGGCTGCATAGGACTACAATTCAAACCTAATGACAGCTTAACTTGAGAGCAAGGTAGTTGTTCCTCATTCATGTGCCCATCCATCTCTTGCTGTCTCTGGAAGAGCCCCTCCATTACAGGGAACCCTCAAAGACTTCTGGTAGTGGTTGCTTAACTAACAGGTAGTTTAGCCTATTACTAAAATAAATAAATGAAAATATCCATTGTCAAACAAAAGCTCCTTCCAACCCACCACCCTGACTGACATGCCAATGGCAAACATCTATAGAAGAGTGTAAGTGCAGGGAGGCACACAGCTGTACCTGCATAGTAATCTCTCTCTAAGCTTTCTGCATCTCCAAGATGCCCAAGGCACTGGGGACTCCTCGGCAGTCAGACATGCTGGAAGGATTTATCTTCCAATCATTTTTCTCATTACTGAGTGAGAAACTCCACAACCACAAGCTCCACTGGCGATGTGTTCTGACTTCAATGCACAACACAAGTATCTCCTCATGTCTGTCCCAACACACTCTTTTATTCTCTCTGGCTCCCATACTATCATCCCCTATTCACACTTTCTCTGCATTAATATTTTACAGATCTTTTCAACATACTACATCAGCTGTGTCTCTCCAGGCCAAAAACCCCTAGCCATTTACTTATTCTCCATATTAAAGAAAATGATCACTGACTGACTAAGCCGGACTGGCTTTTCCTCTGTCAGTTTGGTGCTACAAGATGACCAACCTTTTGCTGTTCACCTGCAATCTCACAGGTCATCCAGGTCTAATGTGTGGGCCCTTGAATAAACAGCTCTTCAACTGCACCCTTCTTTTTAATTTGCTTGAACATATATGGAAAATAAATAAGCGTTACAAAGAAAATAGGAGCAAAGTTGCTAGAACCTAGTGAAAGCCAGGGTGCATGGGAAACTGTAAATAAAGAGACTTGGTTGAGCATATTTGGGAACTGTCTCATTACTCTTTCAAGAGTATGAAGATTTGACATTGGATAATACAGTCATTCCTAATTTTACAGCAAGAACATCACAAACTACCTTCAACTGCAAATAAAAATTTAACCTACCACAAGAGATTAGACTAGCAAAAATCACTGACAAGGAAATTATAAATGATATTCATATGTGTTTGGTCAGTTATCCCACATTTTCTAATATTTAAGGCACACACAGCACCTAGGCACCATTACCCTCACAAAGATATTGGAGTTTAAGAAGAACAGGCCTTGCAGAAGTCCTGCACTGACAGTATCACTGGAGCTGCACTGTGATACCATAGTGGCTAAATAACCATTCTGGCAGCAGTGAGATTTTATAAACATGGCTGTGATACCAGCTACCCATATCTACATTTCAGGACTTCTGAACCAGCACAGCAGGTGTTATCTGAAAAATATCAGAGATTCACATGAAACAACAGCAGGGCCTTCAAAAAGTCCCTGGACAACCACATTCCTTCAATGACAGAGTGCCTTTCCCATTCTCCCATCCTACATATCTTTTACTTTTATAAGTAAATTTTTTTCTAAAGTTAAAAAAAAAAAACAACCTTAAGTTTTTTTTTTAATAAGAAAAGCATTTTCCTCTGTGTATGTAGTTCTCAGATACATCTCTCTGTATACATATATCCCAAAGGATAACTGGACATATCTTTAAATGCATGGACTTTTCAGAGTTGCCAGTTCATGAAACCAAAACTTCAAAATTCTTCTGAAGTCAGCCTTGATTCAGATACTCCAAAAGGTGCAATGGGTCATACAGTGGAAAAACAGAGCTTCCAACCTAAATTTGCAGTTATTTACATTAAGTGTTTTGAAACTTGCTGCTTTGTGGGCCACAAATATTGAGTCAGGGTCTGTGACTGTGTTCTCAAGGAAGAATTATTTCCCTCTTGCTTGCCACATTAGCTGGGGTCTGCTCATTCTGCAGTGCTCACTACTTCACTCCAAGCAGAGCATGCAAGTGGAAAAAATAAGGGACACAGAGGGGAGGAAAAAAGTTCATAACAAGACTTTTATATCTTTTTTCTTCCCCAAACTCAGAAATGAGACTCACTGAGTGGCTGCAGCTCACATTCAGAAGAGCTACTATGCCTCCCAAAGTCACCCTAACTGTATGAACAACTGAAAGTCAGTGTATTAATTGAGCCCAATTCCTTCTCCCTTAAAATACCCACATGAAGGGGAACAGTAAAACTGACACAAAGCAGGACTTTGAATACTAAAAATGGTTTTGGTTATTCTAACCAATAAAATAATTAATTAACCAAAGGGAAGTAGAAGCTCTAATGTGAGAAGGTTGGAATTCATAATTTTGAAGGTCTTTTCCAGCCTAAATGTTTCTCTGATTCTGAGAACCAAAGCAAAAAGAGAAAGACAGCTACAAGCAAAATGATGAGGTAGGATTTTACAGAGCTTAAAAAGCAGACAAGGAAACACAAGCTGAAACCTCAGAAGTGCTGAAAAACAATTTATTTTTAAAAGGTTTTCTTGATACAAAGACCTGAGCCTGGAAGCTTCTAGAAAACTCCAGAATCACCTTTTAACAAAGAATAAATACACAAAAGAGACCCAAGCCTGTCCTTAAAGAGGAAAGTAAAATTTTCTTTTAAATGGTTCATGCTACAAAAATCCTGCTTCATTCAAGGAAAAGCTATATTTTGACGTGAATCCTGTGCTAAGGAAGGGAAGAATATTCTGCAAGGAATATTTTGAGCAAGAATCCACCAACCAGCATGCCAGGAAGAAAGTGGTAGGACAAACTGGAAAGAAAAACTAGATTATATGTTGATAAATTAAATTGATTCACAGAAGCCATGGGGCAGTCAACAAACTAGACAGGGTACAGAAAGTAAAGGTAAGCCCCTATGGGAAAAAGAAGGGAGGAAGTTAGTTGTAGAGAAAGGAAACCTGTGAAAAGCACAGAACCAAAGAGGAACTGAGAAATCCATGGCAAAAAGTTGGGACAGCTGGGATTGTAGATAATAAAAATGTGGGATTCAGATTACGGTATTCAACTGTTCCTAGATGAAAGCCATGCAGATGTCCCATCAAGATGGACAAAACATTCAATATATCTGTTCCAAACTTGTCAAGGAAGTCCACTTACACATGCAAAATAGTAAGACAGTTCATATGAATTCAAGAAACAAGGCATGTAACTCAGGAATTATTCATTTATCAAACTACATAATGCCAAATCAATTATTCAGATTTCAATGCTAATGTTGCAATAGTACCTCAATAAATAAACTTTTCAAAAGGTACCCAGTCCCACAGCACTTTGCCTAATGAATTCTAATGCAAAATCACTGTAAAGTATGTTGTGAACTGGGTATAACAATAACAGATCTCACAACGTGATTGCAATGCCACTCAAGAGATACTTTTTTCATGGAGTGCTGCAGGAATCTCCCTGGTCCTGCACAGTACATAATTAATAACTTGGATGAAAATAAAAGTCTTTGAAAATATGAAGGATCTGAGGTGGGATCTAGAAGAGGAGAGTTGGAAGAAAAAGTAAGTTGCTAATACAATGAAGCAGAATTGTCTTTCAACCTCACTGCTGATGAAACACTTGAAAATACCATAAAAAAAAGACAGTGCACATTCTGAAAAGAAAATATGTCACACAAAACAATCTTGGGAATAACGGCTTCAAACCATAACGGAAATGTCAGAGTTTTATAAAAAAAGAAGCAACACTTCTGCGGGAGGCCTCATGCTGCCATCTAGAGGAGACTGGTCAGCAGCGGGATTTGCGCTGCTTGTGACAGCCCGCTTCAACGAACCAGCCAAGCCAAGAGGGGACTAGTAAATTTCAGTACAGAGATATAACTAAATTATATACGTCTGAGACCAAACCACTAAACCATTAAAGTTAAGTCCCTTAACTTTAATGAACAGATCTTTTGGATTTTTTTCTTGTTCTCTCACTTATCTAAGTCTGTTATTTTCTAAGACAAAATAACCTAGAGATAGTATTAGGAAAAACAGTCCTGAGCAGCTTCTGTTCAAATTCCACAACTAATTTTTGGTAAAAATTTTCCAAAGATAAATGTATATTACAACACACAAAATATTCAACAGATTACAGTAAAGGAAAACTGCCTTCAGTGACAAGAAGTTACAAGCAAGGAAACCTTTCACAAAGGTTGAAAATTCAAGACTGTTATAACTGTTGAGCCTCATGTTTCAGTTTTTACCCACTTTGTCTTCTTTATGTATGCACTTGTTCTCAGTAAAAATAAATGGAACCACATGCAACAAATATCACACATGCAATAAGGAAACAAACACCTCCCTAGCTTTACTGCAACTCAGGCTCTGCTAAAGTCCACTTAGCAGAACAACACTGTCTGACATCAGAACCTACAACTTAACTGAGAAAGCCAATCATCAGCCAGTCTTTGCATTTGACTCAGTTTTACAGTTATACTTTAACTTCTACTCCACCAAATGCTTTACACATTCTTAACAGATGTTAGCACTGTAAGTAAAATAAACTTGAAGTATGTTAAAGCATGCTTAATAATTTGTTATTAAGAATATTAGGCTATCCTGTGTTTGCAGTCAGAAAGACTCTAAAGGTTTATTACTAAGTTGTGTTACCCACTGAAAGGAAGGTGAAAGACTTGAAACTTTTGGTGCTTTGTGTAGCCCAAGAGTAATGACAATCAGGGTCTAGTTAGAGCATAACTAAATGGAAAAAAAATAAACGTGTCGGTATGTATGGGTAGCATTAAAAACAACTCCACAATACTCTTGAAATTCTCAAAACTGTATCAACCAGTTAACAAGAGTCCTAAATGAGACAATGAAAGGAGCTCTTTCTTCAAAAAACCACAGTAAGAGTTGGCTGTTTGTAATTGGGATGAAAGTCATCTTTATTCCTCAAGGACATCACTGCCCGCCACAACTGAGTGTAGAAAAAAAGTAAGAGCTACTGAAGCAGAAAACAGTATGAACAGCAAAGTGACAGGAGAATCCTATACACAAGTGCAAGTTTCCCTGTGGAGGCAGTGCACGGAATTTGAGAGAAGTACTGCCACAGTATTCTGAGAAATACCTTTAGTATCTATGTGGGAAATTAAGCAAAGTGACCCGATTTATGTAAGACAATGTTAACTGAGGAACAGAAGTCTCCGTGCCACAGGGTAACACCAGACTGACATACATGTTTTCCCCCGTGCAGGTAGGTTGTAAGTTGGAGATGTAAACACATTCTCTCATCCTGCTGCAGAAGGTCACTGTCAAACACCTGCCAAATCTGCCAACACACTTTTCCAGCTACCAATGTACAAGCTTTAGTGGAAAGATCTGGAATGCAGTCAGTCATATCTGTGTACAGCACTTACATTCATCCAGTCCCAGTTGATAAGCCAGGTTCTGCAGACCACGAACTTTTTCCATCAGATTAGCTGTAGTAAGGCTCCCCAACTCTTAAGAAGAGAGAAAAAGGTGAATTTTAACACTGTCTATAGTCCTCCAGTAGCAGTTCAGAGAGCACTTTCAAGCCATACTTCTGTCAGGATCTGTTTCAGTGAACAGTGTATGCTCAAAATTCAAGCTGACTCCACTGCTGATTTTAACATAAGGAAAAAGCCATGACTTCAGTTCATGCTTTCATCTGCCACCATTGCAAAGAGTAATTTGACCCATACTTTGGAAGTTCCTGTAAGTTCACGTTGCAACATGAACAAGCTATATAAAAGTATGCAAGGGAATGGACTTATTTTGCATTAATAACATGAGTTCAAGCACATTTCTTGGAGCAAGTCAGAGTTAAATCATCTCACTTTCACTCTGCAGCCATGACATGTCACCGTGACACAATCACACATCACCATCCAGAATCCATGACAGGCAGAGCACGCTGAAGGATGTTTACTGCAAACTAACAGCTGCAACATGCAGCAAGTGTACATGCTAGCCAATCCTGCTGTAACTTGCCCATGCAGCCTCACCATTGCTTTGGAGCTCCTGGATTTGTGAGGGAACACGCACATGTAGAGCACCTCTGAACAAGTCAATCAACAAGTCTAAGCTACTCACCAACTGATCAGCCAAGCCCTGCCAAAAAATGCATGCTACTTCTCAAAATGCAGGAGATGCTCATTATATTTATACAGTGATAAAAAAGGCTAAGGGAGATGACTGAAACATGCACAATGTTACACTGCTTGTTTTGAAAAATCAGCCTGCCACTGACATCTGGATAGGCTCTTGGAAATAACTGGTTGAGTGAAAATGTCTATCATTAACAAGATAAAGAGACTTCTGTGCTGGAGATTCTGCAAATATGATGGCTAGAGATCTCAGGTCATAGGACCACCACCAGGACATTTAAAGAACAAGTGTTTTAAGCCTCTTAAGTAAGAACTGAATTCCCATCTGCTTTGGCAACATCAATTCCTGCCCACAATATTCATACTCACCCTTCAACATATCAATATCATCATTTTCTAATTCAGCCATCCACTTGGGAGGAGAACTTGTAATGGGCTGTTTTGAAAAAAATAGAAGTTCATATTCAGAAGAGTCCATTCTTAGAATTATACAATGAAGTACAATCTGTATTGAAAACTAGTTATACCAACAGCAAAAATATGAGAGTGTGCTCCACAGAAATATTTCTATGTTTTTACCTGGGCATTTTAGAGTTAAAAACAGCATACCACCACCCACAAGCCAAAAATCAGTACGAAAAATAGGATTTTCTAAAGTTTAAAACCCTTTATTGCTTCCAAAGTATAATCCTCATACACAGTGTATACACATAAGGTATAAAAAGGAAACACATATATAAAAGATACATTCAAACCAAAAGGTACATTGTAGCATATACTGGACTTATCACTGAGATACGGTTCATAGAAGATGTAAGGCCCGCAGGAGAACCTGCAGATCTACCATTACACGGAAGGAGGAAACGCGACAGGCAAAGCAGCGCTCACTCACGCTTTTGAAGGAGGCGGCGAACTCGGCAACGCCGGGCACTGGGGAGAGAAAGCGGAGGTTGGCGGGGGGTGAGCGCCTGTGCGGGCAGCACCGTCACCCCGCCGGGCCCCGGCGGGCCCAGCCCGGCCCGTGCAGCTGCCGCAAGGCGGCCCGGCCCGGTCTGCCTCTGCCCACCCCACCCGGAGCTGTCAGACCCGGGGCCGCGGGCCCGCCGGACTTACGCTGCTCGGGCCACAGGTCTGGGGAGGCGCGGTCCAGCTTCTCGAAGCTCAGCAGCGAGGCCTCCAGGTCGGCGCCTGCAACAGAGAGGAGGTGAGCGGCGGGCGGGCGGGGAGCGGCGCGGGGCAGCAGCGGCGGTGCCGCCCGGCCCCCCCGCCTCACCGTCCGCCGGAGCCGCCATGGCGCGCGCCCCACGTGACCACCCTCGCGGCGCGGCCGAGCGGGAGCGGAAAACAAACCCCGCCCCCGAGCCCCACGTGCCGCTCTCGCGGCCGCCGCGGGGCGGCGCTGGGCCGGGCGGGGCCGGGCCGTGACGCTCGGAGGGCGGCTCGGCCCCCTCCGCCAATCGGCGGCCCGGTACGGGGGGCGGGGGCCGCGGGAGGCGTGGCCAGAGCGACTGCTGGCGGCGATTGGCCGCGGGCCGTGCGGGGGCGGGACCCGAGGCGGGGCGGGGGGCGCCGCCGGGGGCCAGGAGCAGGGACCCTCGGCCGGGATGGCGGCGGCGGCGCGCGGAGCGTGGGGCGGGCGGCGCCGCGTGGCGCTCAGGGTGAGGCGGCCTGCCCCGGCCCGCGGAGGCTCGGGGGGCGCAGGGGGGTCGTGGCTCACCTGGCCCCGGGACCCCATCGGGGGGCCGGTCCCGGGCGGGGAGCAGCCGAAGGGAGTCGGGGGGAGGTGCTGCCTGACCCGCCCTGAGGTGGTCTGTGCTTCCCCCCGTCCAGCTGCCGCGGACAGCCGGTGCCCCCTGGATCACCTCGGTCGCCGCGTCGTTCTCTTCCTCGGTGGTGAGTGCCCGTCCCGCGGAGCGGAGCCGGTGGGCGGGGGAGGGAGGCGCGGGAGAGCCCCGGGCGCCGCCGCCCGCCGGACGCTGCCCTCAGGTCTGCTCTGCTGAGGCCGTTCCCGCCGGCTCGACTGGAACCCCGGTGGAACAAACATCGGCACTGCCCCCGTGCTCGAGAGGACGGACGGAAAAAAGTTCCGTGTCCGATTTGTGAGAGTTCGGAGCTGAGCGCTGGCCGCCCGTCACCTCGCGTTGCGCCTGGTGGCTCTGGGCTGGCCTCGTGCATCTGTTTGCGACAGAGAGAGGATCTGGTTTCCTTCTATCTATGAAACTATCAAACAGCTTTAGCTGTTGTACTGCCTTTTTACCTCCGCTGTGCATGGCTGCACACTCTCCGAGCTCCAGACCAGGATTCCACAAGCAGTCTGCTTTACTACCATCCATGTTTCCACAGCAGGTGCATTCTCTACATTAAAAAAAGGTGGCAATCTTATAGAAAAAGTGCAGTTAATTTTAATTCACCATTTCCTGGCTTGCTTAAAGTATTTTCTATTGCGTGTGCAATGTTTGAGATACCCTTTTTAAGCAATTTGAAAAAAACACTAACTCCATCGCACTGAAGTCTGTGTGGTCTGGAGTTTGCAGCTCCATTGCATTAGGCTCACTGAGGCTAATGGAGTGATTGACAGCCGTAGGAGTTTGTCATTCTTTAGACCAGCAGCTTTTCTGACAGTCAGGAAACTCGGTCAAGGGACTCGGATTTCCTGTGTTTCCTTCCAGGTTCCAGAGGAGATTGTGTTTTCATAGGCACAGATTTCTGCCTCTCTTCTCCAAGTGTGATTCCAGCTACATAATCATCTGCAACTTTTTCATTTTAATTATCTTCTAGTGGTGCTTTCCAAATCATTTGGTTTTGCTTGTCCATTAAGAGGCTTATTTTATACTTCTGATCCTAGCTTTCTCATCTCAAAGCTCTCTCAATTTATTCCAACTAACATTGCTGCTTACTTTTTTTTAATTTTCATCCACTTTTCACTGTCATTACTTGTCCACCCAATACCATTTATATTCCTGATTCTTCCTCTGATCTCTTTCTCTTCATTACACTTTGGATAGCATCCAAGTCCTCATCTCCCTTTCATAATTCCACATCATAATTTCTTCAATTTTCTGATATATGTGAGTTTATATCCCAGTTCTGTTGATCTGTCCCATTTCTGTAATTAATATAGAGGATACATTTCCTCTTTCTCTTACCTGTTATCCCCAAGTCATGGATATATGTCATGATTAACTGGTTAACTGGTTCTTTCTTTCTCCTAGTTCTCTCCTTACGTCCCAATGTCAACTCCTCTTTTCTAGTTTCTTAATGTATATAGTCACAATTTGTTTTCCTGCATGGTACAGGTTTTTTTGCCTATCTAATGCTAATTACAGCTTTTACCTCTGCTTTCTGTTCTCTTCAATGTTTGTCTGAACTTCTTATTCCAAACTTTCCTTGTCCCTCCTCTTCATCTGAGTGGGAGAGTTCTGTTTTCTGTGCTGCCAGCCAGGACAGTCCACAGACACAGGTTTCTTGCTCTTAGTTGCAAGACCAAACAGGGGCTGGGGAAAGTCCAATTTTCTGCTTGAAGCTATAAACTGGAAAGATGAACGTGCTTAGTGGCTTGATGGGAAGGAGGCACATGGGACAGTGGTACAGTCTGCACTGGCTTCACGGAATTCCCATGAAGTGAATTATTAACTCTTTCTTCAGAACATTTAGGAGTTGCAGTTTTTCAGGTTTTGATTAAATAGATTGAAACAATTCTGAACATAAGCACAGCAATGTATTTTTTTTGTATAACTGCTTTTAGAAAGAATTTTGGCCATTTTGGTGTAAAGTGAGAGCAAAATGGGGCAGAGAGCATTACCTGGGTCTTGCTGTGAAGACTGGATCCAGACTCCAGTGGTTCACATAGCAGTTAATGATGAAGGCTTGCATGTAATATGGCACACTGGTATTTGGGCACGTTGAGACAAAAATAACTCACTGTGCAGTGTTTTGCCCTCCACAGCCAACAACCAAACTCTTCATTGATGGGAAGTTTATTGAGTCCAAAACTTCTGAATGGATTGACATCCACAACCCGGTACGTGAAATTGTCTCAGCTTATATAAATAGTGATCACTGTGAAACAAAGGTCTGTGCCTCTCTTCAGGGATGTGGCAGAATAAAAACATACATATATTTCTTGAGAAAGGTTTAGACTTGGAGCTTAAGGCAGACTATGGCTTCTCAGTTTCCTTTTCACATGAAATGTCAGTCTCAGAATAAGTTACTATTACCTTTATCTCCCTCACATAGTAAGCCCCTGATCTCCAGAAAGGAAGCTGAAGCTCTGGTTATATATTTTTTTCATAGAAAGGCTCTGTGATGAGTATGTCAGATTTCTGAAGGGTGTCTTTCACCCTGTATATGAAATCAATTGAGTGTGATTTGATGCCAGCTGAATGTGAAGTCCTGATAGAGGCTGATATTACTCTCAGAGTGAAAAGGTGAAAAATCCTGACAGCTGAAGCTCCTCTCCTTTCAGAGAGCTTCTATCTGTGACACAATAATCACAGAGCTGGATGCTGTGCAGTGCAAAATAGATAAGTAGCACTTGTATTGTCTATGTACTCCACCAAAGACAAATGGAAATGAGGTTGCATTCAGAATTCTGATCCTCCTGGACTCCCTTGTAAGCATTTAAACAGCAGTTTCTGAATCTTCTCTGTAAAGCTCTATTTTCATTTACTTTGTGGAAATGATCAGAGCAGCAAGTCATGTTCATGAAGCTCATTTGGTCTTTATGTAGCAAGCAGTGTTCTTGTTTCATTTTCTTCCTCTTGTTTTGAGTAGTTTCTCTTTTAGTGATATATCTGAAATTTTTGTCATGTCAAAGCAGATTTAATTTTTAAGAGAACACTAGAAGGAGGTTAAACTGGCAACAAGCTTGAAGTTAAAATACTGTAGAATTAAGGTTGTATGTAAATACAGGACTTTGGCCTAGGGGTAGAGGTAAGCTAACATCAATGGCAAATGTACAGTCATGTACTGCTTTTCACAAAGGAATTTTGCCTCATTTAATGTGCAAGAGGGACAGCCAGATGAACCAAGACAATGGAGAGGGAAAAGACTAAAGCCCACAGAAACTTTTGCATGATACTCTCTAAAAGTTTCGAGATAGACAGATCACTTCAACTCCATCTTGGAAATCAGCACTGCATTCGTAGTTTTCTGAGTGCCTAACTTGATATATTTGGAGTGCAGGTTTTCAGAACTACTCCAGTGGTAGCCCAGGCCTCTTGTGTGCAATCAAGGAAGGCATTTCCTTTGTGCTCTGCCCTCAGAAGTACAGCTCCTTGTAGAACAAGAATATTAGGTGTGTGCTGTGAAAGGACTCTTGAATGGTTGGTGGGGACGGATAGGAAAAGCTGAGTTTTGATGCAATTTGTTTTCTGTTGCAGGCCACAAATGAGGTGGTTAGCCGTGTACCAAAAGCCACAGCCAGTGAGATGGAGGCAGCTGTGGCTTCTTGCAAAAAGGCTTTTTGGAACTGGTCAGAAACATCTGTTTTGAGTCGCCAGCAAATCTTTCTGCGCTATCAGCAACTCATCAAAGACAATCTGGTGAGACACCATGGCTGTGTGTGATGGCTACAGCTGAATGCATTGCAGCTGATTTTAGGAACTAAATTGAGAGACTCAGGGTTTACAGAGTTCTTGATGAGGTGTTGCCATGATTGAGGCACCGAGACACTGTCGAGAGGTACAGCAAAACACCTCCTATCCAATGGTAACAGAGAGGCTGTGCTTCTTAGGGAATATTACTCTGAATTTGTCCCTTTACCAAGAGATCGTGGAAGGAACTTTGAGCCTTGATGGGACATGTGTCCGTTGATGAAGACAAGTATGTTACTATGTTTTTGAGTTTCCCTGATGGATTTTTTTGATTTTTATGTGGTGTCATACCTGAAAGCATTAGAATACAAGCCATCCTAGGATGATTTTTTCTGAAATGTCACCTGTGTTATTGGCTTCTTGTTTATAAGGAGCAAATCAGTCAGCATAGGTTTTTCTGGATTCTGTTCAGTCTATTCATTGTGATGTTCAACTCTCTGTTAATTCTGTTTTATCCTTGCAATCTATTTCATGGGTGGGCACTTTTCTAACATTCATAAACTTTGTGTTTTCCATTTTCAGAAAGAAATTTCCAAACTCATCACCTTTGAGCAAGGGAAGACCCTGGCTGATGCTGAGGGAGACGTTTTCCGAGGCCTCCGTAAGCTGCTGGCTCCTGCTGTTAAAAAAGGGGGTTTGAGAACCCACAGGAAGGGAGGGATGAGGTCTCTTGAGCAACTGATTGCTTTGTATATGTTGATCCCTTCATTGTCCCCTACCCAAAGAAAAGTGTCAATTGTAGCTCTAAACTGAAGAATTTTCTTAGATAGAGTATCTTTAAA